AGCATTCGCGGCAAGGCAACAAATCAACCCTCTTCTCCTGAGCGAGCGAGTGCCGCCAAATCTCTTCCTTTTTTTTTTTGCATTACAAAATTTTTGTAATTTTTCTGGCCTCCCCTTGGCAGAAGTTTTTGCATTGCAAAAATTTTTTTCCTGTGACTTTTTTGCTTCCTCTTCTCGAATTTGTTGTTCATGTATAATTATTTAAACCCTACTTATATTAGCACGCGTGGTCTTGTTGTTGTGGTGGCATAGTTTTGTCGTCTTCTGAACTCTGCTCGGCAATTGCAGCTGACGCGTGCCCATGCCATGAAACAATAGGACCAAACAGACCGCTCGCTTATTGTAAGAAATCCAAAGAAGTTTGGAGTTTCTTTTTTTTGCCCTGGTTTGGCTTGAGAGCAACGTGCGATTGCCAGTCTGCCATCACTTGATGGGCAATTCGAAATTTGCCAACAATTAAAAAATAAAAATTGTAGCAAATTATTAACCCTCTTGAAGAAGTACCATGGAAAATATTCAATAGCTGAATATTTTTTTGTTTCTTTAATTCCCCCAAAAAAGGAATTGGAAACTTCTGTTCGAAAAGGTGAAATATTTATTTTTTTTTGGTTCGTATCAAAGCTACCCGCATTTTAGTTAATTAACTCGTTTTCTCAATGCTTTTGCTCTTTGAAAACACCCACACAAAATAAAGGTCTGAACCAAGCATATCCTTTTCTGGGTATTTTTGGTTTTTTGTCGGGAACATTAATTGATTTGTATGAGTGAATGAATGAAAGGCTGGCTGACCAGGCAAACCAAAGCCAAAATAACATTTAAAAACAAAAAAAAAAAATGGGATCAAAAAGGGAATTCTCACAACACCAAAATTATGAAAATTACAAAATGAGAAAAAAAAATATAAATTTTATATTTTAAATAATTACTAAAAAAAATAATAAATACTAAATACGAATTAAAAAATATTTTTTTTCATAAATTAGAAATAAATAAAAAATAAAGATTAGCATTCGAATAAAATCAACAGATTATAAAAATTCCAATTTAGTTAAAAAAAGATAAAAATAAAGCCTAAAAATATGCTATATTTTTAATTAAAAAAAATAAAGCCTAAAAATATGCTTTATTTTTAGTTTTTTTCTTAACAAATTTGGAATTTTTATAAGCCAAGAATTTGTTTATTTTATTTGAATGCCTATATTTATTTTTTATTTATTTCTTATTTATGAAAAAAAATTTAAAAAAAAATATTTTTTTAATTCACCCTCCCAAAAGTATGCCTTACTTTTTGTTAAATATTATTTTAAAAAAATGTAAACTCTATTTAATTTCACTTTTATGTTGATTTAAATATTTTTAAAGGGATTTTTTTTCTCCAATTATTTGAATTAGAACCTGTCATTTACCTAAAAGTATGCTTTAATATTTATTTTAAAAATATATGCTTTATTTTTAAATTTTTTAAACAAATTTCGAATTTTTACAAGCCAAGAATTTGTTTATTTTATTCGAATGCTAATTTTTATTTTTTATTTATTTCTACTTTATGAAAAAACGATTTTTTATTGTTCATCCTCCCAAAAGTTTGCCTCACTTTTTGTAAAATATAATTTATAAAAATCTAAAATAAATTTAATTTCACTTTAGTGTGGATTTAACTGAATCAATTTAGATTTTATTCCGTATTTATTAGAATTAGAACCTGTCATTTACCTAAAAGTATGCTTTAATATTTATTTTGAAAAATATTAATTTCTACCAAAGGCATTTTTAATTTTTTTAAATATTATTTTCAATTATTTAACTTCCCTTAAAGGCTTTTTCTGTGCTAAAATTGTGTAAAAAAGTGGATTTTGATATTTTTTTTACCTAAAAGTATGCATCATTTTTGTCTTGTATAAAAAAATAAATATTTTTAAAATTATTTTTAGTAACTTCAAGCATTATACAAACTAATTTCGTGGAAAGTATACGATAGAAAATGATTTTGAAGGATTTTGTTCGCCTAAAAGTATGCCTCATTTTATATATTTTTTTTTTTCAATTTTTGGTTGTCCAATATTGAAAAAAATATATATTTTTTGCCCCCTCCCTTATAAGAAAAGCATATTGAAAAATAATTTTTCATATTTTTTTTCACCCAAAAGTATGCTTTAGTTTTTATCCTTTTAATTTTTATTACCTATTTATTTGTATACCATTAAAAATCTAAACTTTTTCCTATCCTTGTTGGACAATTTGCCATAAATATTAAGAGATTTTATATATATTTTCCGGTAAGCAATTATCCTTTGGGATAAATCCACACAGAAATTTTCCTTCTCAAAAAGAAAAAAAAAATTAAAACAACAACAAAAAATTTTGTGACCACTGAAGGGGTTTTTTTTTGTTTTTATTTCTAAAACTTGGTTTCCTGTTTGGCTTGGTGTTCAATGGAAAAAGGGTTAGCAAAACTAAAGGCACAAATTTAGTTACCATAGATGCCAGGCCGTAAGTTTTGGCCATAAATAGTTTCCTTCTCTCCATCCCAGCTTTCTTTATTTATTTTTGGGCAACCCTCATTAATTTTACTTTTAAAGTCATTACATTTCAAATTTGGCCAAATTAATACATTACAGGAAAAAATGCAGGGGATTTTCCATGTGTTATTTGTTGTTTATCGATAAGATTTTATTTTATGTCGGAGTGGTAGAGGAGGGGAGTAAATAGCCAGAAATTGTTTGGGAATTTTTTTTTTTTTTTTTTGGCCAAAAAAAAGGTAGCAAAGTTTTTCCTGGCTATTGCAACAAATTAGTCTGGTATTTTTTTTTTGTTTTCCAAGGGGCTTGAGGTTTGTTTGCTTAAAGTTTCCTTGATTTCTGAGTTTTTTTTTGGGATGGCAATTAGTTGGGAATAAGAGGAGCAAGTTTTTAGTTTTATTTCATGTTTTTTTTTTTTTTTTTTTGCTATAAACGGAAGTAATAAGCCTTCGATTAAATCAGCAGCATAGTAAAAAAGTTTAAATTTGTTATGATTGAGATTTGTTGTTGTTGTTGGAAAATAAATACAACAAAATTTGTTTAATTGCAAAAGTTGGAAATTTCCTTTCAATGCCAGCAAGGTATCGATTTGTATTTGCCTTGGCATGAAATAAAATCAAATGAAAGAAAGCGAAAAAAAAAGAAATTATACAAAATCATGTAATCCGGTGATTAAGCATGATCGACTTTGAAATCAAATGACGTTTTCTGCGAGAAACCCAAAAATTGCCTTAAGGCTTTACAGAAACTCCAAATGAAAGGAAACCCACAAAACGAAATCCTTGCTGCCATTGCTGCTCCTGCTTATAATGGTGCATGGTTGACTGGTTTAAGTAAGGCTAATGTCCGTCTAGATGGCTGGCTGGCTGTGGTCGTATTAAAAACCCATTGCCAGCAGACAGCAAAAGCCATCACAGCTTCTTCCTGCCATTCCCTCCTCCAACTCAGGCAGATAATAGCCCCGGAGCCTGCCTGCCTGCCTTGTCAATGTCCTGGTTTAGTCATCGATAAAGGCTTCGATGTAAAGTACAGTTTGGTGTCCTTGTTGATGATTTCTTTGTTTTCTTGTTTCATCGCCACCATTCTCAGCATCCCAAGCCAACACCATGGCCAAGACCAGGGGGCAGGGAGGAGAATAAAAAAATTCCCTTCATTGCCTTTGGCTTAGATTTGTCAACAGTTCTTCATTCATCATCAAACACAAAATAGAGAGAGAGAGAGGAAGGACCACAAAGCAAGCAAAAGGAGTTGGCTATCAATATTTTTAGATTTTTAAAAAATATGGAAAGCAATTTTATATTTCCAAGGGGGTTGTTTACCTCCTTCCCCCATCCTCCCGCAATAAAATATTTTCCTAAATACTTGAAAATCGATTATTATTTGTATTTAATAATTCATAATTACCAAAGATTCTCAAAGGTCTCCCACCCTCACACACTCCCCAAAATTTTCGCCCAAGTATTTAAAGTATTTATTAAATAAATATTTAATTTTTTTCAAACTGCTTGCCAGACAAACAAAAAGACTCCTTACCTCAATCCCATGCAACTCATTTCTTCCCTGACCAAAAGGTATCAGCATTTTTTTCAAAATCCTTTTTTTTTTTGGAGTTTGTTTTGTGCCGGCATCACTTGTTGGAATTTTAGCCACGTGAGAATTTGAACAAGTGTTGGCAGTGTACGACGACGACCAGCCAACAAAATATCGCAAGAAATAATGGCCAGCCACCACCCCTTGCCAAATTTGAAGGATACTAAGTCTTTAAGGGATTTTGTTACAACCAAAAGGCAAATGTTTACAAAAATTGAAAATCTAAAAAGGAGTTGCTGAAGGAACAGTCGCAATTTTTTAAAGTTTTGCAAAGCAAATTATCACAATTGGCAGAGATTTTATGAAGCAAATAAAAATTAAAGCATATTTTTGGGGGCAATGGAGGCAAAAATATTTAAAACAGAAAAAAACTAAATTTAAAGATGTTTTCTCAAACAAAATATCATAATTTATATAGGTTTTATAGGGAAAACAAAAATCAAAGCATAATTTTGGGGGCACTTTGGGATAATATAATAATTTTCCCTAAAACTATTAAATATTTAAGAAAATTATCGATCTTTTAAATGGTATAATGTAAAGATTATTCAATTTAAATATTGTAGCATACTTTTGGGGGTTAATGGAAACAAAAAACATTTTTTCTAAATAAAAATATTTGAATCAGAAGAAACTATATTTCAAAAACCAAATATCATAATTTATATAGATTTTATAAAGAAAACAAAAATTAAAGCATACTTTAGGGAAAATAGGGAAAATAGGGAAAATAATTATTTCCTAAAAATATTTAACATTTAAGAATGTAAACTATTTTTTAATGATATATTACATTTAAATATTGTAGCCTATTTTTAGGCACCCAAAAAAATTATTTTCTCAATAATTCATATTTAAAATTATTTTTTTTTCACCTTTTTCCCTCCCCAGAGAGCTACCTTGGCTGAAAAGGAAGTCAACACGCTAAAGGAACAACTGTCCACCAACACCCCCAACACCGACACCAACAGCGAAACCGACAACAACTTGGACTTGTCTCTGGTCGCTACCTCAACAGCAGCTAACAACAACAGTACGAGTAGTTGTAGTAACAACACAGAGGGCACCACCGCCGCTGCAACAGGTCACGACGGCAGCAGCTCAGCCAACGATATCCCACCAAACAGTAGTCGCCTATCGCCCACATTCGATAGCCATAACACAAAATTGCTAAACAGTGTGGCAGCAGCCATAACCCTGCATCAGAACGGTGGTAATCTATTGGCCACCACGCCATCACCCTCACCCCCGTTGTCGGACAGTGGGGCCCAGCCACTGAACGGCTGTCTCAATCCGAAATTGTTTTTCAATCACGCCCAACAGGTTATGATGATGGAAGCTGCTGCTGCAGCAGCCGCCGCAGCTGCAGCTGCTGTGCAACAGCAACAATCGCCAATGCACTCGCCGCAACCGGCTCAGATTAGCGTTGAGGCCGATGAAGAAATGCAACAACCCACCAACAATAATAACAACAACAACAGCAATCACAAAACAAAGGATGCCCCCAACATGGCTGCCTTAGATAAGGTGACTGTCAGCGATACTCAGGCCGAAGGTGTTGTGGATGATGACAACGAAGACGACGATGACAACGTAGAAGAAAGAGGAGCAACAGAAACGGAAAAAGACAACATTAATAATAATCGTAGAAGTCCAAATCCCAACAATGGCGCAACGGAAATGGAAGCCACGGGAGTAGAGGATGAAACGGAGGCCAATAATGCCGCCAGCGATTGTCCAACATCGATAAATAATAATAATAACAATAAAAATATCAATAGTTTTAATAGTGATAATAAACATAGTTTAAATGCCAGTTGTACGGAAACGGAAAAGACAAATGCCACCAATGCTAATAGCACCTCGACCACCACAAACCCCCTCACTCACCCCAACAGCATTAGTGCCACAAATCTGTTGTTGGATATGGATGTAGCCAGTAGAGGGTCCTCCTCGTTTATGGATTCGAAACATTCAGATTTTGTAGCTGCCAAAGAAAAAGAGGTAAGTGAGATATTTAGTTTTATTTTTTTTTGTCGAAGAAAATTAAAGTCTGCTTTTAGGCAAAATCCAGTGTTTGAAAAATTTTAAAATAATTTCCATAATTCTGAGGGGAGATATACCGCTCCAATAAGAGAAGAAAAAATATATAGAGATTTTAAGATTTTTTTTTGGGAAAAATTGTAGCCTACTTTCAGGCAAAATCAATTTTTTTGGCTTTTAACATTATTTTCGGTCATTTTTAGCAGGAAAATTAGTTAAACTTTAAATATAAATTAGGGAAAATTTTAATAGCATTCCAAGATAGGATTTTGTAAATTTTTTTGGTAAAAAGTGTAGCCTACTTTTAGGCAAAATCAATTGTTTCGCCATTTATGCAAAATTATGGGACCAAATAGAATTTTTTTATCTACAATTGTATATTAATTAATATTGGATACCGTATTTGACTATTTTTTTTTGAAAAAAAAAACTAAAGCCTACTTTTAGGCAAAATTGGGTTGTTGATAGAATTTTATTATTTTTTGGTAATTTTTCGGTTTTTTTTTTTACTTTATTTACACTTTCAGTATATAAAAGAAAAATAGAGTTTTTTTTTGAAAAAATGATAGCCTACTTTTAGGCAAAATTTCGTTGTTGATAACATTTTTTTATTTTTTTTGTAATTTTTCGGAAATTTGTTCACTTTATTTACACTTTGAGTATATAAATGAAATATAGGATATTTTTTTGGAAAAATAATAGCCTACTTTTAGGCAAAATATATTTTTATTTAAATTGTTGGCAAATTGAAAGGGAAAATTTTAATAGAATTCAACGAAGATATTCCAAGACGGGATTTTTAGCATTTTCTTGGAAAAAAAAATTGTAGCCTACTTTTGGGCAAAATCATTTGTTTTAAATTTTTTGCAAAAATTTTACAGCGAAATAAATTTTTTTTTTATTATTTTACATTAACTTACTTTATTAGGTATTATTTTTGAATATATTTAAAAAAATTAAAGCCTACTTTTAGGCAAAATCCAATTTTTGGTTGTTTTTTATATTTTTTTTTTCTATTTTTGGGAAATTTAACTTTAAACTATGAAACTGAATTTAAAAAATTATTTTTGTTTTAATAATTTTCTCAAAATTATAGCCTGCTTTTAGGCAAAATATAATATTTTGATTTATTCCATTTTTTTAATTGATTTTAAATTTAAATATCTGTCACGATTTCCACATCAAATTACAGTTATGTCCTTTTCTTGAAATTTCTCTAAAATCTAATGCCTATTTTTAGGTCGAACCCAAAATCAGCTGATTTGAAAATTCCCGTTTTGCTTCTTTTGTTTATGCCCACAAGGGGTTTCTTTTCTAACCCCAAGGTGTTAAAAAGTACTTAAGCATCACTTACAACAATATTACCCCCTCCTCCTCCTCTCCCAGCTCTCCATCACCCTCCATGAAATTGTAACTGAGTCTAAAATTAAATGAATAGGCAATGAAATGCCAGAATAAAAAGCAGAAAAATGAAACGGCAGGCAAACGCCGTCTCCAAGATAGACCGCAGACAGTGTTAAGGCTAAAGACCTTTCAAAAAAAAAAAAAAAAAAAAAAAAAATACAAAAATAGAAGGAAAATGGACGCAATGCTACGCACAATTGAAGAAGAGCCAAGGACGGAAACAAAAATATTCCCCAAAAAAAAAAATGACTGACTTTCTTTAAGGGATCCCTTGTTTTTTTTTCAGATTTTTTGTCCGCTGGGAAGGAAGTTGTTTGTTTATCCTGTTTATTTGTTGAGCAAAATCATTCAAGTCAAAATATCAATGTTATTTACCCAAAAAAAAAAACGTTGGGTCCCTTTTGATGTCATAAAGTTTTTGAGTATTGACAAGTTAATTTTTTACGCCTTCAATTGTTTTAATAGAGACAAAAGTGAAACCCTTTTTTGTTTTGGGGTTAAATCAACAAAAAAAGCGAAGAAGAATCCTATTTCAAAGAGTTTTCCACAAAACCCCACCCCGTTTTTATTTGGCCTTCCTTTTGTGACTTTATGCCAGCTATGTGACCTTGTCTGTATTCCCACTGAATATTTACAAATATGCCATAGATCTTTTGAAGGGAGAAGACTCGGGAATACATAATTTATTACTTAAAATTCCTAAAGACTTCAGAAAAAGGGAGCAGCAGCATCATCTGCCACATTCGCTTGTCTTTCTGTGACCCTCCACTTGATATCGCAACATGTGTTGTTTTCTTTAAGCGAAGTGCATCATTGAGTTTTCTCCAAACCATGTTTATAATTACATGTGTTTGTTTAAAAAAATATATATGTTGAGGGGATTTAAGTAGTGTTATCGCCGGGAGAAAAAAATTAAAAAAAAAAATAAATAAATAAGTAAATAAAAAAATTAAAAATTAAAATTATATCCCAAAAGTATGCTTTAATTAAAAAAAATTACAAAATCTTTAATTAAAAATACACTTGAACAACCTTTAATAAATAAAAGCTCTTTTGAAAATAGTAAAAAAACATGTAAAAGTAAAAAAATAGTGCCCCCTAAAAAATAAAAAAAATAATTTAAAAATTATATCCCAAAAGTATGCTATAATTTTTTAAAATCTTACCAAATATTATTTAAAAAATATACTCGAAAAAACTTGGATAATTTAAAGCTCTTTTCAAAATTGTAAAAATATGTAAAAGTGAAAAAAATAATATTTCTGCCTAAATATTTGCTTCAAAAATCTCCCAAAAATATTGAATTTTTTGAAATTTCCGATTTTTTTATTAAATAAATTTATCAATTTAAAAACTTCCTATTAATTTAATCCTCATTTCAAAAGTTTTTTTTATTTTATGAAAAATTAAAATTTTAATCCTAAAAATAGGCATATATGAAACTAAATAAAATCAATAAGAGCTGGAGAGTGAGGTTTTCTAAAAATCGTAAACAACACGTTAAAGTAAAAAAATATATCCGCCGAAATATATGCTTTAAAAATGTGATAACAACTTTGCTATTTTTTTAAATTTCCAAGTATTTGTTTTATCAAATAAATTAATCAATTTGAAGACTTCCTCTTAATTTAATCCTCATTGCAATTGATTTATTTTATTTTATAAAAAATTTAAATGTTAACCCCAAAAGTAGGCACCACTTTTTAAGGAATGTTATTTTTCTTTAATGAATTTATATGAAACTAAATAAAATCAATAAGAGCTGCAGAATAAGCTTTTCTAAAAATTGTAAAAAACACGTAAAGTAAAAAAATATTTTCGCCTAAATATATGCTTTAAAAATGTTTAAAAAAATTGATTTTTTTTAATTTCCGAGTTTTTTTTATTGAATAAACTAATCAATTTAAAAATTTACTTTTAATTTATTCCTCGTTTCAAAGGATTTTTATTTTATGTGTTTGATTTTTTTTCCCTAAAAATAGGCACCACTTGTTGAGGGATATTATTTTTTTTTTAATGGAAATAATTAAAACTAAATAGTTTTCAATGGCTAGAGATAAGACCTAGTATTAATTTAATCCTCATTTTAAAAGATTTTTTTTTATTTTATAAAAGAATTTAAATGTTAACCCTAAAAATAGGCACCACTTTTTGAGGGATAGTATTTTTTAATGTTTATAATTGAAACTAAATAGTCTATAAAGTTTGAACACCTTAAAGAGATGTAGTATCTCAAAATGATTGTGCCTATGAAATAATTTAAATTATTTTGCCTAAAAGTATGCAAAATTTTAGGGAAATATCAAAAAAATAAATTAAATCAATTTTTTTTTTAAATTTAAATTTAATTTTTGTAAAATTAAATTTATTTTTAAATTTTTAGAAATTGTGTTTTTTTTAAATTATGTAATATTTTTTTTTATTTAAAAAAAAAGGTAAATTAAAATTTCTAAAAAAAAATAATTTTAGAAATTCTGGTTTTAATTTTAAAAAGTCGTGTTGTTCTTTTTATTTCTTTTTTTCTAATTTTCAACAAAAAAATTTTTTTTTGCCATTTTTTTAATATCTCCGCAGAAAAAACTCATCCATTAAAAATGTTTTTTTTTTTGCCCAAACAAACCAAACTTATTACATGATATTTATGAACATATGTAACAAATAAATTTTGCAATTTTTACTTTTTTTCCTTGGGCTTTGACAACTTGCCATTATGGATTTTTGGTTGGTGGCTGCACATTTTCAAAATCAAAAAAAAAAAATCAAAACCAAAACCAAAAAAATGCACAAAAAAAGAACTTTAAAAGAAAAATATTGGAGAGTGTCACTTGAATACATTCGAACAGATTTATCATGTTCCAAAAGCAACAAAATAAATACTTAGACATTATTATAGACATTTACAGCCAGCCAAGCAGACAGTCATCATCATTGCTGGCTGGCTGCTTGGTTGGCTAGCTGGCTGACTGGCTGCCTGGCTTGCACACAGCCATAAAGTAAATAATGATTTTAGTAAAGAAAACAAACTTGTCAAATAATCCAAATTGTGTCTGGTTAAAAATTGAAAATTATGAATAGTTTTTTGCAGCAGCAATAAAAAAAATTATTTTTCCTTTGCCAGAGATGTAAATATTTTCACCGCAAGAGAAAATGGAGGGGAGAGGGGGGGTCAAAAAAAATTAAAATGCATTTCAAGCCATTAAATTTTATGGTCGCATATGTTAGATATTTGTTATGGCAGAGACATCAATGTTTGTCATAGGTGGTGGTGGTGGCCTAGGGGGCTTAAAAGGCTTGAAAACAGATTAATAGAAATTAATAATTCCAAATATAAATTTTAGATTTTTTTTCAACTTTTTTTTTGTTTTGTTACGGTTTTTTATTTCACAATTGATAACCAACCTGCCTAACACCAACACCAAAAAACGATAACATAATTATTTTAGAAACATAAAACAACTTCCTGTTTAATGGTATTTTGATTGCTGGTTTCAATTTTTTTTTTGTATTTTTTTTTTTTAAATAAAGACCTCAATTCAATTGGCTTGGCTTATCAGCCA